TAATCGACTAGCCGACTAATCGCGCACATCCATATGTTCTTTGTACGTTTCCCATTCTCTGCATCCCGCTCTGTATAGTCAGTGAACAATAATTAAGACCTAATGAGCAACATTCTTTCACAAGTGGTATCTTGGCCTGCTTGTTGTCCATGCTTTGGCACTTTTTTTTCCATGTTATCCCGTTATTTTTTCCCTGGCCTTCACTCGCCGTTCTAGGTCTGGGTAATGTATCAAAGCTCTGCAGTTCTTTAGTGAACTTGCATCTGGCTTGTTGTGTTGTTACTTAAGTTGAGTCAAACAGTCCACTAATTGCTCAGTGAGTTGGTTTTCCATCATGTTGAGTTCTGTTGAAGGAACTTGGCTGCCGGCATAGGGTGTACTCCTGCAGGAGAGTTCAGCTGGTCGCCACTTTCAAGTCGGGCCGTAGTACGCTGCTGGACGACGGTGTGTTGCTCCCTTTCGGTCTGGAAGTGAGTCACTGTCCCACGAGAAGGAAGTATCTTGGAGTCATGTTCACAAGAAAGGCAAAGAGGGTGAAGGAGATCGACAGGCGGACTGTCAGCAGGCTGTTGATCAGCAGCTGGACGAAAAGCTCTCGATTTACTGGTTGATCTACGTCCAACCCTCAGGCATCGTCATGAGCTTCGGTACCGAAAGAATGATATCACAAATACAAGTGTCCAAAAGGAATTGCCTTCTAAGGGTGTTTGGGACCACCCTTAGAGGTGGTGTAAGAAGCTCGGACATCCAGAGGGCACTTGGATTAGAACCGCTGGCCCTTTGCATTGTGGATGCCGCTTGTGGAGGTGTCCCAAGCACATCCAACAAAACTGGAGAATTGGCTTGAAAGAAGGAAGTAGGGGTTACCTCGCCACCATGACCTGGACCCAGATAATAGGCAAAAGATGGAATTTCCAGTTTGAACATGCTTTTGAACCCAATATCCACCGTTCACCCGCCAGTGTCCCTTCGACTGCGAGCCGGGGCAGCAGTAGTACGATCAGCCTTGCTCAAAGGTTCTGAGGACCACCTATAGGCTCACAGAATCTTCACCTCACTCAATGAAGATGGAGCCGAGTTCCAAAGTGAAATGTAAATATAAATTAAGGGCCAGTAGAAGCAATCCAAACTGGATTCATATGGAATCTCTTCTTAGTATTTTTTTGTAACTGAGTTACAACTTCTTGAAAAGATTATGGTGCATTGCAAGAGGTTAGCTAAGAGAACACAACAGCTGGAGGGGTTCATTGTGTCTGTGTGGCACCCTCAGTCCAGCTACGCAGGGTGATGGGTGGGTGTGCTGTAAACACCCAGGAATGAAGTGGCAACGCTACTATCTGCCCTGTGTACAGGGACTGGCGGTATACTTTAACTGTAAGAGACTCGGCCCTCACGTCTTTCCCTTCAGTTCGTGCCTTGGCCACATCATCATTTAGCCCAGAGTGACCAGTGGCAGCCAATCCTGAGAATACTAGGTGTCTGTGCTTGGTTCCAGATGACGCTGACAGCCGCGGTAGAAACAGACCCGTTAACTAGTTAGCCCCCAGAGAGCGGGATGGCCACAGTGAGAGGCTGTTTATATATATATAAAAGCTGCAAAGCATTGGAACAGAGATGTAATGGCGTTGAGATTACGCAGAGAGTCGGCAGCACGAGGGGTGACGTCATGTGAGCGCTACATCTGTCTCCTATTGGACTCTGTGCTCCAGGGCCCTCGTGCCTCTACACAGAAGGGCCACATTTTACCGACATTGTTTTTTGTGTGAATGAGAGGCACAGTTGGTAGCAGAGAAACAGAATAGAGAGTTGGCATTCCTCTCGCTTTCAGCCTAAGTATTTAGAAGTCAACATGTGCTTTACTTCCACATGTAGCTATAGATTATTATATTTACAATTGTATCGACCTGGTTACTTTAAATATATAAATGACTTCATATTACTTTAAGTGTCATTGTTTTTTATGTGATACACCAACTATTGTAATATAACTGAGGTAATACACCACATATGTGGAATCTATATTCTAAGCCTCATTTTATGCACCTGCAGCGCGATGAAAATGTCTCACTGATTTCAAAAGGGAGAAAACATCTTCCGGAACATACCAGGACTGTTTATGTTTCAGTCAAAGGTGTCTGCTAACAGTATTTGTGACCGGTCCTGTCTGTGGTTTAACTGAACTTTCCTCATATTGACAACAGCTGCAAAATAGTTGTCAGTCAATATATCGAAATATTATATATTCTCTGCCTCTCTGCAGCCAAATGATTGTTCCTCTTTTAGCAATGTCTGTTCACACAACCATCAAGTTTTGTTTTTTTGTGTATTATTATAACAGAGACTAGTATCGAGTCCCTCGGCCCAAAGAAAGCTCGTGGCCTCTTGTTGAACATGCAGTAGATATAATCAGCTGGAGTCCCGACACGGAAGTGTGGCGTTTCCCCCGTCAAGTAAAGACTGTTAGCTCTGTTAGCACTTTTGCTGTAGTTTCCACTGTTAGCGCTGTTAGCACCGTTAACCAGCCGTCACCATGTTGAGAGCCATTGAGAGGTAATAGATATGCTCCCGAACTCGTAGATAGAACCTTTAATTACATAATATACTTAAGCATCTCATCTCATAACTTCAATCCAAATTCACATTCCTGTCATTTCCAAATAATCTGAGGTACAGCACTTATGAGTAATGGTTTAGAGGGAGGGCACCCATTGTCCATTGTGCTTTAGAGGCCAAACGAGCATAAATGATTGCATCTTAAAGCAACTGGTGTTTGTGTACGGGCCGTGCTCTCCCACACTGTGGCTTTGGGGGTTTATCCAGTGGGAGAGCATTTTTAACTAACGATCCTTGCCTGAAACAGGGCTTTCTTTGTGGTCTGGCAGATCCAAGCCACGGCCAGCAGCTGTCATAGTGTACATGGAAGCAAAAAGTTACACTTGGAAATTGAGAATTATGCTGTTAGAAACATGACTTGATAACAGGGTGCTTTGAAGGAATATGCATGTGGAAAGCGTGTACCTTGTATGTCTCCCCTACTGCAGCTGTAGTTTAAGGTCACGTCTTAGCTTAGAATTCGTCGATGAATTGAGATGTTACTGCAGGGCCAGAACTGAATCAAGAAACTTGGCAGCGGCAAACCAAAAACATCCTTTATGAGTAGTTGGAGTGGCATGCGGCACAAATGGTTCAGCGTCTACACCCCCCTCCCCCGCCCGTAAAGGAAGAGTTTCCTCTCTGCAAATTGTTGCCTGATGCGTTGACGATGATGTGACCGTCTCCGGGGACTCTGTACATACGGCGCTCTCACGTCTCCCATCTCCT